GCAAGCAGGAAGACAGCAGGTGGCATTGTTAATGAGTGCTTCATTTAACATTTATTTTTACTGTCTTACGCTATAAAGAAAAAAAAATGATTGATTAGTTCTTAAATGAGAAATACTGCTCTTTGTATGCATGAGTATATTGGCATAACAGACTTGCTACAGTTTAGCTATGTACTATGAAAGTACTGTTTGCAAGCTAAATATCACATTTAGATCATCATAAAATGCTGAAATCATTGTATTATTATTAAGGGATATCTATTTTATAAGTTAAACAAGCTCAATAAAAAAAATATGAGAGTACAATAATTACTTTGTTTTACAGTTTATTACAAAACATTTCTAAATAAAATCACAATAACAATCATACACGAATGACAAAAACAATCCAGCGTTGCAATTGTTCTAAACTATTCTATGAATACTATCCTTTTATCTTGAAATCCCCTTGCTTGGTCTCATGATAGTATGAGACGCAAACCTCAAAAGAGACTGTTACAACCATTGGGATATGTGCTCACTTTTAGTCAAATTGTGTGTACATATTCCCAAGTCAGGTATGTATTTGCACATTGCAGTCAAGCTGGATAAACATGCACACTGCATTTGCTTGTGATAAATCAAGGTAATACATCCCTGCTGTATCACTAATGATTGAAAGCCCATCAAACACATTTATGATTCTAGTAAGGCTTGTAGAGTGCCTTTTATCCTGCATATACAATCTGCACATGTGTATAGATGGTGGATTTTTATGAAAAAAACTTTATCTACGCAAAACAATAAAAAATTATTATATTACAGTCTATTGGGTTTATTTATAAAATTTGCGCACAGTGTATAGCTGGGTAGATACCATTTACATGGCACTAGCAGCCCTAGATGGTGCTGAGGAGTATTGAAATCTCCTATACTCCTCTGCACCATCTAGGGGCACTTTTGCAATTCTTCCCAGCTCCCAGGGAAAGTTTTGTAAATGGACCCATATGTGTATGAGCATATTAATATCGTCAATTACAAATTCAGTGGCAAATTGATAAAATATTTCAGGGACTTTTACAGAAAAATACCTTCACTTGTCTTTCATTTTTGCTAAATAGCATTATTTTGACACATGGATCTGTAACACGGTAAAATTATATATGAATCCTCAATATTATTTAAGCTTTTACATTATATTATTTCAGCATGTGGGGAATTATTCATAATTATTTTAGCAGTGAAAAATTCAGAATTTCAGATAAAGCAGTTTCTTCCAACGATCCCTTGACTATTCACGGTCAGTGACAGGCCTAATAACTCTAAAGCTAAAATCAAAACATGGAAACTCCCTGGAGAAAAGTCAGTTATTTTTTATATATATACAGTATGTAGAAATAAAAGGGGTTGACTAGCACTGTTAGACTTGATGAAAAATGACTCACAGTTGCTAATGTGATGTCTATCCTAACACACTAAGGGGCTGATGTAGACAGCATTACTGGTGGAGCTGAGGAGCATAGGAATTTCCTAAGCTCTGCAGTTTCATCTAGCAGCAAAAATGCAATGCAAACCTCACTTACCCAGCAACACGCTGGGCAAACACTTTATACATCAGCCTGTTAAATTGTATTTTCACTTTTGCAGCCAAATTTGGATAACACATACTAATGATTTTAGGGCAGTTTCTCACCAGGCCTTCGTACAGATCTCACCAGGCTGCGTGCTTGCGCCGGGAAGAAGTAGGAGGAGATGTGGGATCGAGCAGGCACTGTCAAAGACAGCTACTGCCTGGTCTCCAGCAGGCTGCCTGAGGCCCCCACAAGCGCAGGACCTTAGGCAGCCGATCCAGATAAAAAATGTAAAAGTCTGGTATCGGCCTTTAGTATTGGGGCATTTTCACGAGTACAAGTACTCGTGAAAATGCCCTGTATTGACACTGATACTAGTATCAGTATCGAGACATCCCTAGATTGTTTCATGTTCCCAATTACACAGCATAGCTTTCAGAAAATATTTATTGCTGCTTAGCTTTTTACTTCCTTCAAAATCTTAGTTTGCTCTTCTCTTAAATGTAATGTTAGGAAGGGGGCAGGGGAATTATGCTTGCGATAGTTAACCCTGTTTGTACTGTGCTGGTAGAACTCATTATGGCCGGTAAATTAGATGGTTAATGATCTCAAGGCTTTGGGTAGTACATTGCGTTTAATGTATATTATTAAAAAAACTGTCACTTTTTACCTCTCTATTGCCATTTATTCTAAGAAACAGAAGCTATCTATAATGTCCTATGAATAAACCTGCTCCAAATGGCAGCACAGTGGTGTAGTGGGTAGTACTTCTGCCTTGCAGTACTGGGGTCCCCAGTTTGAATCCTGGGCAGGCCACTTTCTGCAAGGAGTTTGCATGTTTTCTCTGTGCATGCTTACTCACACACTCCAAAGTGTGCATGTGAGAGATGGGGAGCTTGGATTGTAAGCTCCTTGAGGTCGGGAATTGATGTAAAGCACTGTGTAAATTGTAAGCTGTAAATACCTGTAATAAATAAAGAAACAACTACATAGGTATAACATATTTAAACATTTTCTTTTAGGTATGCCGTGTGAATGGGAACATATAACAAACATACTTTTGACTGCAAAAGTAGAAATACACTTTAAGGCAATGTGCCAAAATGGCAGTTTCTTCAAGACTTGTTTTTAGTTGCAGTCCCATCACTTTTACAATGCTTCTCCATAACCACATGCATTCTCTTCACTGTCCGATCATAGCAGGTAGGTGACCAAGCTGTATTTCTTTACTGAAGCAGATTTAGGTTTGGGGATTTGTAAATATCATGGGGGGATGGAGAGCAATCCAAATCCTTTGGGAAGTAAACAGCTCTCATATACTCTGAGTGGCCAGATTATTATGACCACCTGAAGTTTGTAGGCAAATTAGCTATAATTTCGCGCTGAAGTTGCTAGAGGGCCAGACCATTATAAATAGGGAAGCAGGTTGTTTACCACGACAGTAGAAGTGATTTATTTCTGAAGATATGGGTAAATAATGCGATTTAACAGCCTTTGAACGTGGGATGATTGTTGGCGCTCAAGTCATGGAGCGAGTATCGGCAAAACAGCAGAATTCGTTAAATGTTCAAGAGCAGCTGTTGTTAAAGTGTTTAAAGACTGGACTGTCAGCCGAAAATCTGGGTCTGAATGTGCGATTCGTGGCCGTCATCGACTAGTCAATGTTAGGGCAGAACGGAGAGTGGCAAGACTGGTACAAGACAACAGAAGGGCAACAGTGCAGTGTCAGATTCCTCGCATCACCTTTCAACATCTCGTGGAGTCACGAGATGGCCCAACGAAGTACTGATGGGGTGGTCATAATAATCTGGCCACTCAGTGTATAGAACCCTAATTCCAAAAAAAGTTGAGACGCTGTGTAAAATCTACATAGAAACAGAATGCAATGGTTTGCAAATCTTATAAACCCAGATTTTATTCACAATAGAAAATAGAAAACATACCCAATGTTTAAACTGAGAAAATGGACCATTTTAAGAAAAAAACAAGGTAATTTTGAAATTAATGGCAGCAACATGTCTCTAAAAAGTTGGGACAGGGCCATGTTTACCAAGGTGCAGCATTCCCTCTTTTTTTAACAACAGTCTGTAAACATCTAGGAACTGAGGAGACCAGTTGCTGGAGTTCTGGGAGAGCAATGTTGTCCCATTCTTGCCTGATATAGGATTCTAACATCTCAACAGTCCTGGGTCTTCTTTGTCGTATTTTTTGTTTCAAGATGCACCGAATATTTTTAATCGGTGAAGCGTCTGGACTGCAGGCAGGCCAGTTAAGCTCCCAGACTTTTCTACTACAAAGTAATGCTGTTGTCATAGATGCAGTATGCAGTTTAGCATTGTCCTGCTGAGGTAGGGAAAGCCTTCCCTGAAAAAGACATCGTCTTGATGGGAGCATATGCTGCTATAAAACCTGAATTTATCTTTCAGCATTGATGGTGCCTTTCCAGATGTGCAAGCTGCCCATTCCATATTCACTAATGCACCTCCATACCATCAGAGATGCAGGCTTTTGAACTGAGCGCTGATAACAAGCCAGAAGGACACTCTCCTCTTTAGTCCGTAGGACGCAGCACTCATGGTTGCCATACAGAATCTCAGATTTCAATTTGTCTGACCACAGAACAGTTTTCCACTTTGCAACAGACCATTTTAAATTTGAGCTTTGGCCCAGAGAAGACGGCCGCGTTTCTGGATCACGTTCAGATATGGCATATGGGTTTATGAGATTTGCAAATCATTGTATTCTGTTTTTATGTCCTTTTTACACAACGCCCCAACTTTTTTGGAATTGGGGTTGTAGATTTCAATGATGGATTTAGGTGTTTGCCTGTAGTTTTCAACTTTAAACTTTTCCTTTGCAAGAATAAATACTGCTTGCGCCGCATAATTTTTTTAATCAAACCTTTTCAATGTATATTTCCCTACTTTAAATGGGTTTTATGCCTTCATCTGGCTCAGCCGTGGATTCAGGGTTCTATGGATGCAAGCTTTTTTTAATTTATTTTTGCAATATTTGCAGAATGGGATATGTAAGGTATGAGTGGGATTTCCTATGTAACAGTAAGGATAATCTCAGACCAAACCCAAGCTCATCCAAAGCCGTCAGTGCATGCCCGATTAGCTGTGACCGAAGCATTCCCCACCCCGCAGCTGCATGTAAACAAAGGAGTGAAATGTTGGTGATATCATTGACCTTAAATGGTCACATGGCTGTATTTGGTCAATTACACTTATCTAATATGGCCATGTGGCCATATAAGGTAAATAATGTCACCAGTATCGTGCCACTTTGTTTACGTGATTGGGCATGCACTAACGACTTCTTTCATTATGCCTTTTGTAACCTAAGTATGTAACCCTATCAGTGCCACAAGCTCAGAAAAATTTACAGAACTAGCACACTTGGAATCTAATATTCTCAATCTGTCATATATAAACTATTGTTACTTACGTTCTAATAACAACCATGAGACTGTATCCAAAAACACCAACACCGACCAAAAAATAAGAAAGTGGTAGTCTGAATTTCAACCATCCGATTGTGCGTTGGTCATTGTAATAACCATAAAACAAAACAGAGTATTTGGCATAACCCTGTGGAAGCAAAAGACAAATAAGGAGTTTATATAATGTTTTTTCTTAAAGAACAACCCCAGGTAAAAATGTTTTTAACCCTTGCAGTGGGGCTACCCCCACACTGCGAGGGTTAAATGATCATTTTTTCCTAACTTCAAAAATAACAAAGTTATACTCACCCAATCTTCCAAGAAGGCCGAATGTGACAGCACTACCCTCTGCCTGTCTACACATCTGCTGCAGCGATAGTATGTCCCTTGGTGTCCTCATGTCCTATACACTGTGCATAGAACTTGATGACTCAGGGACCTTAGACTGCTGCAGTGGAGGGGGAGAGAGGCTCCAGGGACCAGTCTAAGAGCAAGCCATCTCCAAGGAGGAGAATAACTTTTTTATTTTTGACCTAAGGCATACATAAGCACTTAACCCTTGCAGTGCGAGGGTAGCCTCACTGCATGTGTTAATATAAATTTTACCTTCTTTAAAGGAGAACTATGGGGTCAGTGCTTTTCCCCATAGTTCTCCTAGGGGTAACGGGAGGACACAAACTAGCGTCCTCCTGTCACCCAAAGCTCAGTATACCGCGAGCTTAGCTGAGACTCCGCAGCCGAGACGGATCCCGACAATACTGTCTGGATCCACCCAGCTGCGTGAGTGACACACACCCAGTGCTGGAGGATCGGACAGGGGAGGGGGGGAGGGAATCCCTGCAGGGAGCCGTGAGTGACACTCACTGCTCTCTGCAGGCACAGGATCGAGAAGTGAGCGAGCGACTGTATGTGTTCGCTCACTCCCCTATCTATTGAGCCGACGTGTGACAGTTTCATTGTCACATGTCTGCTCGAACTATGAGGCTGAGTGATTTTCACTCACCTCATAGTTCTCCTTTAAACATTTTCCTAAACTAAGCTGCTTTTCAAAGATATTTCTGTAAATTAAAGAAGTTGATAAATTCAGCAGCATAAGGTGATATTTAGCAGAGACAATTACACAGCCCTTACAGCGCAGACTGCGTTGTTTATTATGATGTTATGAACTTGACAAGTTAATTCACAACCTCACTTACTTTAGATGTTGTTGCTAAGATCTCACAATAGTATTGTAATTGTTTTTCTATCATGCTATAAAGAACTACCCTGGTTCCTTCTAGTACGCAGGGCGAAGCTTTACTGTTATCAGACAATTACACAATCCCTTGCTGATAATAAGAACAATAGAATACTATACCTCAAAATCCCAAAGCACAGCGAAATCCATGGCGGTTTTCTCTTCTTTTCTGGGCACTGTTTTTCGTGTTAAACTGCCATACGGTAGTCCCATTAAAATCTGGATAGCAGAAAGTAGACAGCACAGTGAAAAAAGGTGATGGAATTTTAATCTTAATGAAATGTGAAATTGTTTTGAGTACTTTAATATTTGCTGAGAATATCCCTGCGTGAAACACTGAAATGTCAAAGAGAAATGAATGGAAAGTAAAATGATATGTTCTAGTTATTCATACAGTAGGCATAGGCTTCTGCACAAATTACATTTATTATTACTCAGGTTGGCTCTGCGACATCAGGACAAGAAATTAGGTGAATAGGCATCTCTGGGAAAGGAAGCCACAGACAGCTATAGGTTTTAACCCTTCAACACTCTGTTAAATTTGAACTGAACCCAATTAATAAAACCTTTTTAATAAACGTTTATTACAATTTTAAAATGTTAATGCAATTTTAAAAGTTGGTCAAAAACTATTTTCAACCTGTAACTTTCATTTAAAGAACACCTGGTTATCCTGCCCTGATGGCCATTGTAAAGTGAACTTTCACCCAAGGAGGGAGGGGGGGGGGCACAGTTTGGCATCTTTGCCCTGGGCACTGAATGACCCTGTCCTGGCACTGCATAGTAGTATTATTGAGTATATGTTATCTGATAATATGTCTGGAAAATTGCCTATTCTGCCAACTTCTAACCTCTCTAAAAGTTTAAGAGGTGCTTTAGGTAATTCACACATTTAGGGCTGCTCTTTCATGGTGTAGCAAATGGAATAACTGTCCTTCATGGTACATGGAACACATGCAGCAGCTTCACATATGCCAGCATCGTTTCTTGTATGGGTCTTGCTAAATGGGATTTCCTATGTTAAGTCAGAATAATAAATGTAAATGAGGGTTTATAGTATGCATGTGATGTGTGGGATTTCTTATCTTACATGTGCCAGGATGATAACTGTATTTTGCAGTATTTGATATGCAAGTAATAAGTGGGATTTGCTATGTAATATTAGGGATGAGCTCGGGTTTCGGACTGTACCCAAGCTCATCTGAACCGGGAAGGACAAAGGTATCAGATTCTTGTGACATTATTGACCTTATATGGCCACATGGCCCTATTTGTTCAATGACACTGACCTAATATAGCTATGTGGCCATAGAAGGTCAATGATGTCACCAGCATCCTGCACCGACTGCAGTTGATTCTGGGTTCTAGAATAAGCTCAGTTTGGTCCGAACCTGAGCTCATCCCTATGTAACATGTGCCAGCATAATAATTGTCTCTTGCGGTATGATGTATGAAAGTAATTTGAGGGGATGTCACATAAGTGATATATCTTATGTTACATGTGCCAGCATAATATCTATGTTTGGCAAGTAATGACTGTGATTTCCTATTTGACATATACCAATATAATAACAGTATCTTGTAGTATGTGGTATGCAAATTATGAATGGTGCCAGGGTAATAACTGACTCTTGTAGTATGTGGTATGCAAATTATTAATGGTGCCAGGGTAATAACTGACTCTTGTAGTATGCGTTATGCAAATTATTAATGGTGCCTGTGTAATAACTGACTCTTGTTGTATGTGGTATGCAAATTATTAATGGTGCCTGTGTAATAACTGACTCTTGTAGTATGCGGTATGCAAATTATTAATGGTGCCTGTGTAATAACTGACTCTTGTAGTATGTGGTAAGCAAATTATTAATGGTGCCTGCGTAATAACTGACTCTTGTAGTATGTGGTATGCAAATTATTAATGGTGCCAGCATAATAACTGACTCTTGTAGTATGTGGTATGCAAATTATTAATGGTGCCAGGGTAATAACTGACTCTTGTAGTATGTGGTATGCAAATTAGAAATGGTGCCAGCATAATAACTGACTCTTGTAGTATGCGATATGCAAATTATTAATGTTGCCAGCATAATAACTGACGCTTAGAGAATGTGTTTTACAAGTGATGACTACGATTTCTGATGTTACAAGTCAGTGTAATAACTGTCTCTTGCAGAATGTGGTGGGCGAGTTATTAGTGGTATTTTTTAAGTTCAGTCCTTCTTCTAAGGGAAAACGTTCTTGTTTAGAAAAATCTGATTGCTTCCCTAGGGAAACAAGTACACTTATCCTTTAGAATACACTTTTTATACACAAAGCTCTGCAGCTCCATGCTGTGTAGTCAGAAACAGCAACACAAAGCTAATAAGAAGCATTAGCAGAAAGCCAGGAGACAAAAGGGATTGTGCTGGGAGTGACAGGCAATTTGTACAACGAGCATCTTACAATAAAGGGGAGGAATTTTTGAACTGCATGCCTTGTTTGAGTCACTCCTCATTCAACTGTGATACCAAATGAATCTGCTGCACAGAAGGGAAGATGCAATTAAGAAAGAATCCAAATCACTACTTTTCACCAATCTTAGAGCTTGTAAACGGTCAGTAAGATTTTTTTAACTCAATTTTTAAAGCTGAACTCTAGGCAGTCATAAAGTACAAATTAATGCATCTCTGTAATCATTCCTACAATATTTGATGTATTTCTTTAATGCAAGCAGTGCAAGTAACTGAATTTAATCTACTATCAGCCTCTTGTAATCCTTGTACAGCAGGACTGGAGCGAGAAATGAAGAAGCAGTACAAGGAACCAATCAGATCATTAGCTGACATGATGCATGTTGATAGGAAGAGAGCACAGTGTGACAGAGAGATTAACTAATCACTGCGCTGCTTCCCCTTTTACTGTTCAGTAGTGGGTGGGGTCAGGATGACCTTGATTCAAAGGAAGTGAATTGAATGATGCCTACAGACTGAGGACATCAAGAGAAAAGAAAAAAAAGTACTGCAGAAGAAATCTCTGAAATGGGCTTTTCATTTTATCTTGTCATGTTCATTTTTATCTTGTTATTATTGGCTGGAGTTTTGCTTTGATGTTAACACTAGTGTGTGCATTGGTAGAGTGGTAGCAAAGGCCTGGATGTGTGTTGGTGCAGTAGGGGGTGAAGTGGGGGCATGTTGGAGAGGTGGTGAGATCGGGGTTGGGTGATAGGGTTACATGCGGTAGTAAAAGTGTGTCCATACAGTGGCGGCAAGTGCAGAAGTGCGTGTTGGTTCAATGGCAGAGAGTGCAGAGTACTCATTGCTGCCATGGTGGTAAGTGCAAAAGTGTGTGACGATGCTGTAGTGTTGAGTGCCGGAGCATGTGGCAACTGCATAAATTAGCATTGGTGCATTGGCAACAAGTTCACAAGTGTGCATTGGTGCAGTGGTGGCGTGCACAGAAGTGGGCGCCAATGCAATTGTGGTGAGAGGGGTAATGCGCACCAGTGCAGTATTGGTGAGTGTAGCATTATGCATCAGAAAAGTGGTGTTGAGTGGGGTATTGTGCATGGGTGCAGTGGCGGTGAGTGGAGTATTGCATCGGTGCAGTGGTGGTGAGCAAGGCAGTGCATGTTAATGCAGTGGCATTGAGTGCAGTATTGTACTTTGCTGCAGTGGCAGTGAGTGCATCATTGCATGTCGCTGATGTAGTGTCGATTGGATTATTGCACATCGGTGTAGTAGTGGTGAATGGGGTATTGCGTGTCAATGCAGTGGTGGTGAGAGGGGTATTGCGCCTCGGTGCAATGCCAGTGAGTAAGGTTTTGTGCATCAGTGTAGTGGTAGTCAGTGGGGTATTGTGCATATCTATAGGGAAATAAAAAAATATTTTGTGAAACATTTTACATTTAAAAGCAGGACTTATTGGAGGAATTCATAAAGAGTATCAGAAATAGTGCCGGAAACAGCTGCATGAATTTTGTGCAAGTACTGCTATTTGCAGTGTGGAGACACTTTCTGGACACTCCATCCTCATTGCTGCTCATTATGCTGAACCTGATAAAATCACAGGCTCAGCGTTACTGAGCTGTCACTGTGACTGTGGGTGGGTGGAGCCTGACGGGGATACTAAGGTACTAGTTCCCCATCAGGTCCACTCTGCAACTGATTGCCAGTTGGTAATGGTCGGATTCCACAGCCAATAAGCTGGCTATTGGCTATGGAATCTGCCCACAGCTTGCTGTCAATCAGAGTGGATCTGATGGAAACTAGTATCTCAACATCCCCATCAGACTTCAGCCCCACTGTAAATGTCACTGGTTGTAAAGGATGCTGTTGGCTGTACCAAGCAGTGTCCTTAACAATCATTGACCCTGGCAGTGGGGGCAGAACCTGATAGGAAGTTTAACATCAAGTCTACTCTGCTACTGATTGACAGCAGGCAGTGTGTGGATTCCATTGCCAGGTCTACTTTGGTACAAAGCAGTTAATACAGTTTTTCAGACACCATAAAAATACATTTAAAATAGTATTAGAAATATCACATACCTCTGGAATTACAACAAGCCCAAATATTAGACCAAAGAGAACTAGATTCACACCATACATCCATCTTAGGAATATAAAATATGAGGCAACAGATGATCCAAAATGACCTGAAACATGTAAGAACAGCACAAAATCACAATTTGACTGTTTATTCAAACAGAATGAACAGAAGCCTCTTCAAAGTCCTTAGAATTACAGAACATTGCTTATGCAGGTTTTTCTTGATTTAGAGTAATGTTATGCTGCACTTTTCACATGTTGGATTGCCCAACAGTATATCTACTACTATCTCAACAAGGAAAGAATTCTAGACAAGAGGCAACCTGCATGTGCCAACATGTCATGTAGTGCTGGTCTGGGATTTGTTGTAAAGAGTTGGGAGCCCACAGCAAATAGAATACTTTGGGAGTAGTAAAAGAAGGGAGGGAGCGGATAGTAAGGAGAAGAGGGACCCAAAATTTTACACATCCTCAGGTTTGCATAGGATGCTGATTATGAAACCCAAAGAGCATCTGTAAACTATCTCTTCACAATATCCATAATATGTTCTGCATTCAGCCTCTTTCATTTGTCAGTGTGCTGCTTAAAAAAAAGACAAAAGAACCATTTTCTGAAAAGGATATGGATTTGAAATGCTAAAGGAGTACAATATACACTGAGTGTCCAGATTATTATGACCACCCCATCAGTACTTCGTTGGGCCATGAGATAACTCCACGAGATGACTTTGTTGGGTCGCCTCGTGACTCCACGAGATGTTGAAAGGTGATGCGAGGAATCTGACGCTGCCTTGTTGCCCTTCTGTTGTCTTGTACCAGTCTTGCCATTCTCCGTTCTGCCCTAACATTGACTAGTCGCTGACGGCCACAATTTGCACGTTCAGACCCAGATTTTCGGCTGACAGTCCAGTCTTTAAACACTTTAACAACAGCTGCTCTTGAACATTTAACGAATTCTGCTTTTTTGCTGATACTCGCTCCATGGCGCCAGCGCCAACAATCATTCCACGTTCAAAGGCTGTTAAATCACGTTGTTTACCCATATCTTCAGAAAAAAATCACTTCTACTGTGGTGGTAAACAACCTGCTTCCCTATTTATAATGGCCTGGCCTGTAGCACAGGAAAGCCTTGCTAAACAGAAGGTATTTACATATCTTATTCCTTTACATATCCCAATAATTATCCTTGCCCAGATGCTGCAATAGTAAGTATGAAAACATATGCAATATCTCATAACATAACAGATACATAAAAACTGGAAACATTATACGTCCCCCTTAAATTAAGACTATATGTACTAAGCACAAATAATAATAATTATGTAATAAGACAGAATTGCAAAAAAAAACAAAAAAAACATTAATCAAAAACTTCTTGACTTCTCTATGGCCGACAGATTTGTTCCCTTTGATCTACTAAAATGTAATTATTCAATTCCAGATACAGTTCCAGATACAGAGAAGTGTGGTTATCTTCAGCTCAATCATTATTTTACTCGACTGTCCTCTGGTAATTCCCTACTACTACTCTCTTCGAACAGGAACTTTACCCATATCTTCAAAATAACAACAAATTCACCTTTAGAAATGTTTAGTAATGACAATCTACAAACAGATACTTCTAGATTATTTCAGGCTTTTTGTTCTTTGCATTCCTTATTTTTCTTTTCTTCTCCATATTTCTCCTACAGTGGCCATTTTTTACTAAGGGCGATCAATCTATCTCCCTTTACTTCCTGGAACTCTGTGACTAGGACATGCGACCATGCACATCATCTCAGGGGAGGAAAATGCCTTTCCCTGAGATCTCCTGAAATTACAGATGAGATTTCCCAGCAATCCTCTACTGATGTAACCTTCCCAGGATGCAATGTTTGGGTACATTACATCACTTTTGCCAAAGAGAACCAGGAAGTAGAAAACAAGAAATTGTAAGTAAAATGAAAATATGTTTGTTTAACTGATGAATGTAAAATGATTTCATATCAGCATGCAGCTCTGTGATTTTTAGCCATGGGGGTAAATGTCCGCTTGAAGGACATCTTCTTTATGTCCCTCAGTGTTAAAGGTAATATCTCCAGAATTTACAAGCTTCTTCTCAATGCTCTATTAACTTTGAAGACATCATACATGCTATCCTGATAAACAAATAATGGGAAACCAATTTCCCCCCAACAATGTTAAATTAAATTTATGAATATAACCAAAAACTCTTAAAGGGAAACAACATTAACGATTTTTACACAACGGTATTTAATGCCTCATTGGCTTCACTATATGTTTCCAAATATAGCAAGTGGGTGCTTTTAGGGTTGTGGAGAGGAGGGCATTCTCAAACTTGTTTTGTTATGGTCCCACAGTTAAGGATATATGACAAAAAATGGCAGACGTCAACCATACCCCTATAGGTAATACATTACAGCCCACCTTCCCACAGTGTCTGCTTTTCTCCACAAACCCTACTGTTTCACCCCAGAATAGAAAATAAATACAAACACTTATAGGAGCAGCCCAATGGACCATTGCCCTTAACTGGAAACAAAGTACTAACCCTCTTTAAACAAATTATAATTTTTTTAGATTGAATATTATAGAAAAGTAGTTTACCTTATCAGAGACTCTCTCCCCTAATGCCATATGAAATGGAACCCTTGCTTTACCTCCAGAAACAACTTGTAAACTTAGCTTACACTTCTTCTGCCAGAACTTATGTACCATAACTTTCACAGACCGCCTACAGAGGTGGATGCCTATGTTTTTATTTTGTTAATAATGTTTTACCAATGTATATGGATGATCTAGTGATGCTGATCTGCACTTTTTATTTTGTATTTCTTGAATCCTATTCATTATAAATGATCTTTGTTATTTAAAGTAGAACTCCAGGCACAAATATTATTGACGCTCGCAGTGGGGCTTCACCTGTACTGCAAGGGTTACCCAATCCTCAGAGCGGGCAGCACTCCCTCAAACCTCTCTCCTCCGCCACTGCAACAATGGTACTGTATGTCTTTATTGGATGTGATGACTTGAGGATCCTTAGACCGCTGCAGCAGAGGGGGAGAGAAGCTGGAAGAACCGGTTTAAAAGCAAGCAGGCTCGGAGAATCAGGTGAGTATAATTTTTTTAATTCTTAGCCCTAGATACAAAAAGAACAGTTAACCCCTGCAAGGGTTAATATTATTTCTGCCCAGAGCTCTGCTTTAATTATATATTCTCAAAAAAATAGATTTCAGAGGAATGGATGCAAGTATCCAGACACTGAGAACCTCAGAGTTAAAAGAAATAGCAATTGCCCCCCC